TCAGGGGTATGAAATGGATAGGCATGGCCCAAACTAGCCTAGTGTGAAAGCAGGATCATGGTCTGTTTGTTGATATTAATTTCCCTAGGGAGGGGTACTAGGGTGTGGTAGACAATCAGAGCGCTTGGGAGAACAGGTTTTACCAATCGGTACAGAAACATTTCAATGTTTTCACAACTGCAGTGGCTATCCTGATGCCATTATGAGCTCTAGGTCATGAGGGGTGCCCAGCATAGTCCTTACTTAGAAATTGCTCTGGGATGTTAATGAGTCCTTGATTTCTTCAGGTAAATCAGTTACACTGGAGGTTTGATGGGTGGTGGAATGTGTTGGTGTTCATAAGCTCTGTGGTTCCTTCTAGACGTGGAACACTATTAGAGTTTAGCTGCCAATTCTGTGGGTCCCACCACCATGGCCTCCTCTGCCCAACAGTTCTCTCTCACCCATTTATAGTTTTAAGTGATTTTGCCTGTGTGTGGTCCTCCTTAGCTATCTATTAAATATTCAGGCCCACGTGAAGTGGAGGGCTAGAGGGAAGGCTTCCATGCCAGGCCTCATCTTGCTGGTGAGTGACTTCAGGCAAGTGGTCATCTCTCTGAGTCTCAGTTTTTTCATCTGAAATGCAGAACATAATACGTACCTCACAGGGTTGTTGGAATTAAAGAAGATGGTGCTGAACCCAGTGCCTGGCACAGAATAAGTGCTCAATAAATGGTACTTAATAGCAGAGCATGGACTCTGGAGCCAGCCTGTCTGGCTTCAATCTCTGCCCTCCCCTTTCTAGCACCCTGACCTTAGACATGTTCCTTAAACCTCCTGTGCCTCATTTTCCCCATCTGTAAATGGACATAATAATAGCACTTACTTCATGGGCTTACTGTGAAAATTAAATAGGATAATATTTGCAAAGGGCATAAAACAGTGCCTGACACATTATAAGTGTTCAATAAAGCTTAGCTATTATTAGAATGATTATTAATAGATGTTTGGTTATAAATGTGCTTTGTGCTTGCATGAATGAAATGAATCATGAGATATGAATTGTCTTGGTTTAATAAGCTCACATCATATTGAAACAGGAGGGAAAGGGGCAGGGCACAACCTTTAAATGAATGACATAACCATAGGACATGACAAAAACTGGCTAGAATCAACTAGGTCCAAGATGGCAGAAGATTTGACTTCCAGTGGACCTTGAGCCTCATTATATGCTCATTGTAATATATTAGCATACTAAATGACACATCCACAGGTGCCATGACAGTTCTGAAGCCAACCATAAAAGGCCCAAAAGTGGGTGGTGACCCAATTCATGGAAATCCCTGCCCCTTCCCCAAAATAGTTGGAATAATCCACTCATTAGCCTATGAAATTACCCAGCCCATAAAAACTAACCATGCCATATTTTGGGGCCTCTCACCTTCTGAGATGGCCCATACTCTGTGAAGTGTGTTTCTCTCTAAATAAATCCACTTCTTACCTATCACTTTGTCTCTCTCTGAATTCTTTCTGCGATGAGACATCAAGAACCTGAGCTTCATTATGTCCTGAGACCAGGTGTGTGATCTCAATTAAAAGACCATGGGGGACTTCCTTGGGGGTCCAGTGGTTAAGACTCCATGCTTCCAATGCAGGGAACATGGGTCTGATCCCTGGTCGGGGAACTAAGATCCGACATGCTGCACAATGGGACCAAAAAAAAAAACCCAGCATGTAAGCCCCAATCTGAGTTGCACGGTTTCAGTATTTGAAGAGATAGACAGATGCACAAACATCAAGATGTCCTTCTGAGGACTGACATAGGAGTATTCTCATATTCTATGATAGCCCCAAAGAGAGGGCAATTAATTCTGCCTATCGGCGTTATGTTGGAGCAAAAATGCTCTTTTGCCCATGTGTGGTCCCAATTCTTCCTTACGTGTCAATGAAACATGTGAGGCCACTTAATGTGGAGGCCCATAGGCAAGATGGGCAAGTCAGGCAGTCTGGGGGTGCAGCCCTGGGGATGAGTAGCAGTGGTTCTGGGGAGTAGATGGAGGAGGGCAATCAAACAGCGAGTAGAACTACAGGATGTGCTCAGTGGAGGGCAGAGCAAGGCAAGAGTATATGCAGAAAGGCTATTTAGGGCCTGAGTTAGAAGGGCCTGAGCACCCCACAGAATTTGGGCTAAAAATTAGAGCATAAAGTATTTTTGTTAAACAAGTGGTATTTCAATATAATACTGTGGGAGCATGGAGGGAAGTTCTTTCATTAGGCATAGTAAAAATTATATAATAATGTTCTCATGCTTTCACTCTCAAGAGTTTTCTTTTTGGGAAAAGAGAATTTCCAAAATTTTGCAGAGTGGTGAGAGGGTTGTGTATCCTAAAATCTGGGCATGTCTGGTTCCTTTCCCTCTTCAAAGCCACTGCTGCAAGGTCCAAGTAACTGTAAGGCCCTCCTCACCAGGGCTTGCTGGGGATAGATTCTGTGAGTTATCACACCCAGGCATATAACCTGAGGGCATGCTCTGAGCTGTACAACCTTTCACATCTACTGTCTGGAGGGTTCTCAGCACCACAGTCTTTTTCTTAGTCTCTTCTCTTGATCACTGTATGTCTACCTTTCCCTCAAACCCCAGGAGGGAAGAAATCTGATTTAAAAATTTGTTTTGAAATAATTTCAGACACACAGAAAGGTTGCAGGAAAAGTTCAAGGAATGCTTACATACTCTTCGCCCAATTCCCCAATTGTTAATATGCTACATTCACTATATGCTTTATCAGCGTCTCTTTTTGTATATATATCTTTATGGACTGAATTGTGTCACCCCCCGCAAATTCATATGTAGAAGCCCTAACCCTCAGTACCTTAGAATGTGACTGTATTTGGAAATAGAGCCTTTAAAAAGGCAATAAAGTTAAAATGAGGTGGTCATGGTGGGTTCTAATTAAATCTGACTGGTGTCCTTATGAGAAGAGGAGATTAAGACATACAGAGAGAGGCGCCAAAGGGGTGCTCCCACAGATGTAAGACCATGTGAGGACAGTGAGAAGGCAGCCACCTGCAAGTCAGGGAGAAAGGCCTCAAGAGAGGGCAAACCTGCCAACACCTTAATCTTGTACTTCCAGCCTCCAGAACTGCAAGAAAATTAATTTTGTTTTTTTTCTACCAATTTTATTGATATATAATTGACATAGAGCCCTGTATAATTTTAAGGTGTACAGAATAATGATTTGACTTACATACATCAAGAAATGATCATCACAATAAGTTTAACAAACAGCCATCATCTCATATAGATATAATTTTTTTAAGCCACCCAGTCTGTGGTATTTTATTGCAGCCCTAACAAAACCTATATATATATATATATTTTAGCCATTTGAAAGTAAGTTGTAGATATGATGTCCCTTTATCTCTAACAGCAAGTACATTCTCTTACATAACCACAATATGATTAGCTATAGGAAATTTAAATTGATACAATGCTATTAACTCATCTACAGACTTTATTATTATTTTGCCAGTTGTCCTATAATGTCCTTTATAGCAAAAAAGAGACAGAAAAAAAGAAGAATGAAGGAAAAAGAAAGAAAATAATTGGGGGTGTGTGTCTGGGATCACATATTACATTGAATTGTCATGCCCAGGCTCCTTTGATCTAGAAAAGTTCCTCATTCTTTGTCTTTCATGACTTTGACATTTTTGAAGAGTACAGGCTGCTTTTCTTGTAGAACATCTCTTAGTCTTGACTTGTCTGATATTTCCTTGTGATTAGATCTACTAGTACATTGCAAAATTTCAGGAATGTGCCTTTTTCCTGGACTGTTTTAACATTCCAGGTCTATGATCTCTCCTCTCACTGTGTAAATAAGAAATCTGTAACAATTTTAGGGAATTCAGTGGTTTAGGAAAATCACTTTATTCAATATTCAGACTTGCTAAGATTTATGAAGTGGTGTGTCTTCCTCAATGCGTCATACCTGAGGGCATATAATGTGTTTTTGTCCTATTAACTGGTGTTAATTTTGATCACGTGTTTAAGATGATGACTGTCAGGTTTCTCCACTGTAAATGTACCATTTTCTCCCTTTGCTATCTTTTTTTTTTTTTTAATTTGGTTGCGCCCAGCGGGCTCCTCAGTTGCGGCTCACCGGCTCCACTGTTGTGGTATTTGAATTCTTAGTTGTGGCGTGCATGTAGGATCTAGTTCCCTGACCAGGGATCAAACCCCAGCCCCCTGCATTGGGAGCAGAGTGTTTTAACCACTGCGCCACTAGGGAAGTCCCCCCCATTGCTACTAAAAAAATACTCTGTGGGAGAGATACTGTGAGACTATGCAAATAGGGTGGCCAGTCAGATAAAATACAGGTAGCCCAGTTTAATTTGAATTTCAGGTAACAGACGAATACCTTTTTAGTAAAGTATGACTCCTCCTCCCAATCCAAATTTAACTGGGCATCTTGTATTTTTATTGCAAGATCTGGCAACACTATATGTAAATAACTTGGTCCTCATCCAACTTCACTCAGTTGTTTTGACATCCATTGATGATTCTTAATCAATTTTTACTATGATTTTGCCAAATAGTCGTTTTCTAACTGCATCATTCTTCTACATTTATTAGTTGCTATTCCATCTGCCTATCTTTTTATCCACTCTTAAAGCGCCTGGCACACAGTAGGCACTCAGATATTTGGGCAGTGAATGAACGCGTTGGCCGGGCTTCCGTGACAACGTTTGGCAGGGGCTTGCCTTCCTCAGCCAGTCTCGGCAAGCTATCGAGCCTTCGGAACCATCCAGGGCCCCGCTCTTGGCGCTTTTTGCTCCAATCACGAGCATGGCTTTACTGGGCTTCTCTACGTTTGAAGGAAGACAACCGATCGGTTCCTTCAGCTCCAGCGGCCCAACAGACTGCAAGTGGAGAGCCGCAGGGACCAATGGGTGCCGGCAGGAGGCGGGGCCTGCCACGCGGCAGCGGTATAACTGCAGGGCCCGCGCGCGTTTGCCTCCCGGCGCTGGCCATGGCTGCAATGTCCCTCTTATCCACTTTAGCCACCCGGCTGCTCCGGCCGGCGCAGAGCTGCCACCTCCACCATCGCCCCTTCCACCTCTCGGCAGTTCGGTAAGAGGGTCGGGGGGCTGGGTTAGCGCGGAAATCCGAGGGGAACCGAGCGCGGGGCCCGCCCAGGGACTCCCTTCATGAGCATCTCCGTCCCGGGAGGTGGTGGCCACCGAGAAGGGTGCGGCGGGGCGACGTGGCATCCCAGAGTGGCCGCAGCCTACCATCAGGGCGTTCGTTCGGCTGTGTGGGCTGAAATCGAGAGCCCGCCTTTCGGAGGAGCCGGCCTCCTGCAGGCTCCGGGCGTCGTCCTGTCTCAAGGCCAGTCCGCCGGCTGAACGGGGCCCACGGTGTGGAGCGGAGGTGCTGGCGGGCCCTGGGACTCAGCGACTTACCTGGGAGCATACGGAGGTCACCGGCCAGAGCCTGCCGGCCGCCCTTGGCCCTGATACCAAGAGCGGGAAAGCAGAGGAGATGTTTTGGCGAGCGCGAGGAAGAGTTGTGAGGGAGCAGCCTTCAGTGAGCCGTCCCTTCCCGGGACCCTAGCGGCGGTGAGGGTTAGGGCGGAGCCTTGCTCGCCGGGTACCAGCACTTCCCTCCTTCTCCCAGTCGTGGGTGTGGCTCGCGCTGCTCTACAAGCTGCCCCTTTCCCTCCCAAGGGAATAAATGTGTTGTGGTCACCAGGACTTTGACTGCAGCCCACCTGGAGTCGGTCAGTGCCAGACCAAGTAAATTGAGGTGGTAAACGCCCGGGAAGAGAAGAGGGAAAGCTCTGTTTGCGTTTTCTTAGGGAGGTAATAAATATTTCCTGATTTTTTTGGACCTCAAATTCCTATTCTAAACCTAGGTTGAAGAATCATTTTCTGGGGGGGTGGAGGGAGAGCTGTGATTTCGTTCCTTAAAGCTATGCACCCTCTTTCCCGTCAATCTTTAGAGCCTTTACACTGCAGAGACCTAAGCCTTGTAACAGCAGCCCCTTTATCCAGGCAGTGTGCTAGGCTATGCGAATTCAGAGATGGTAAAAGCGATTTTCTTTAGTGGAACTTCCATACTTGTCAAGAGGCAGAACATGTACATGTGGCAGAAAATGTAATTTCCAATCAGTGTAAAAATGCTATTAGAGACGTTTCCAAGGTGCTGTTGGAGCACAGAATGGGGATTAATGCGTTCTTGAAAGAAGACTTCAGATGGGACATTTAAGGATTTTCTTAGTCTGACCCTGACCTGCCTTTCCAGCCCCATCTTTCATTACTGTCTGTTCTCTTCCCTCTTCCTCCCTTCCTGAGTTCTGGCCACATGTGCTTTCATGATTGAAGAGATTTATAAAAATACTCCAATTCCTTACCTAAAGAAATGGAACAGTTTGTTCACACTCTCCAGTAACAAATGCCCTGCTTTTGGGGCTTCCCTGGTGGTGCAGTGATTAAGAAGCTACCTGCCAATGACGGGGACACGGGTTCGAGCCCTGGCCAGGGAGGATCCCACATGCTGCGGAGCAACTAAGCCCGTGTGCCACAACTACTGAGCCTGCGCTCTAGAGCCTGCGAGTCACAACTCCTGAGCCCACGAGCCACAACTACTGAAGCCCATGCGCCTAGAACCTGTGCTCTGCAAGAAGAGAAGCCACCGCAATGAGAAGCCCAGGCTCTGCAATGAAGAGTAGCCCCTGCTCGTCGCAACTAGAGAAAACCCGTGCGCAGCAACAAAGACCCAATGCAGCCAAAAATAAATAAACAAAATAAATAAATTTATAAAAAACAAAAAAACAAACGCCCTCCTTTCACTTCCTTTTCTGAATGAAATGTAGGTTTCCACATCTCTGAAGGCAATAAGTACATTTGGTATTCAGGGTTCTAATGTATTGCTTTGATTACTGCTAGCTGGTAAAATTAAAATATCCTTTAAAAAATATGGGTCTAAGGGCAAGACGGGAATAAAGATGCAGACCTACTAGAGAATGGACTTGAGGATATGGGGAGAGGGAAGGGTAAGCTGGGACAAAGTGAGAGAGTGGCATGGACATATATACACTACCAAATGTAAAATAGCTAGCTAGTGGGAAGCAGCCGCATAGCACAGGGGGAGATCAGCTGGGTGCTTTGTGACCACCTAGAGGGGAGGGATAGGGAGGGTGGGAGGGAGATGCAAGAGGGAAGAAATATGGGGACATATGTATACGTATAACTGATTCACTTTGTTATAAAGCAGAAACTGACACCATTGTAAAGCAATTATACTCTAATAAAGATGTTAAAATAAAATAAAATTGAACAGAAATGGGTCTGCATGTATTCCTTTTTTTGGGGGGATAGTGTGAGAGTTTTCATGGTTAGAGAGATAGTACTGTAGTCTAGGCGACAGTGAGGTAAAGGAATAAATGGACTTTGGAGGCAGAAGTTTGTGTTTTAATTTTGTTTCTACTGTCCTCAGTCTCTTGTTCTGTATAACATGCTTATAATAGTCCCAAGGTAACTGAGAGTAATATATGTAAAACTCTAAGCAAAATATCTCATGTTTCAGAGATGTTAGATCCATCCCCCTTTGTGTCTTTGTTCACTCATTACTGGTTCCATTAATTAGTAGATAACAGAACTCTTTCCAAAATAAGTTGATCATGAATTGTAAAATGCACCTGATATTAATTTTTCATGGAAAATTACAGTACTGTAAACTATTGAATTAGAAGGAAAGTGAAGATGCTACTGACTTGGATTTCAGTTTTTAATTTTATTTAGATAGTCCTCTTCTTTCTAGTCTGTTGATACATAATTTTATTGGAAATTTTTCTAAAAACATCTGTGAAAGCACTCCTAAATGTGTTAGCTAATATGGTTAATAAATTTTGGATTCCTCTTGGGACTGATCTCAGTCCCCATTTCCATTTATTTTGGGGTAGCAGTAACTTTATCTGCCCATTGGCAAAAAAAAAAAATGTTGGGAAATTAGGTAATGACTCCCTCTCAGGACTGTGTTTCACATTTGGCAGAGTTGTGGTATGCAGGCGAGGACTAAAACACAGTTATGTTGTAAAAGATACTCATTGCTTTGTGGCTTTGTTTTGGTTCTTGTTACTCTTTGATTTTTCTTTTTTTTAAGCAAATTGGCATAACATCCAGAAGTTGCCTTTGGAACTTGGAACACTGGATTCTCCCAGAACCCTGTGTCCTTAACTTTATTATATCGTGCTTAGCCCAAATGTGCTGCTACCATTTTCTATAAGTTTACTGCTTTCAAAAGGAACTTAAAAAAATTTTTTTTAAATGAGCTTTTTAATGAAGTGCAATCTAAGTCCTATTCACTGATTATTTTTATAAAGCTATCCTTATGAGTGTATAAATAAATATATCTATTGTATATTAAGGATGTGTGTGTGTATAAATTTAGCCAACAGAGTTAGATATTAATTTTTAGTGAATATATATGCCTGGCACTTTATTTATTTATTTTATATTTTTGGCCATGCCACGTGACACGTGGGATCTTAGTTCCCCAACCAGGGATCGAACCCCTGACCTCTGAATTGGAAGCTCGGAGTCTTAACCACTGGAATGCCAGGGAAGTCCCCATATTCCTGGCACTTTATTTGTTATTTCATTCAATATAAATGACTGTCCTAAGCCCTTTTAAAGTAATCTTTCACTCTATTCTATTCCAGGGTTGGGAATCTATTTCTGGCACGGGACAGGTATTACCAAAAATCAAGAATGTTGGGCTTCCCTGGTGGCGCAGTGATTGAGAGTCCGTCTGCCGATGCAGGGGACACGGGTTCATGCCCCGGTCCGGGAAGATCCCACATGCCGCGGAGCGGCTGGGCCTGTGAGCCATGGCCGCTGAGCCTGCGCGTCCAAAGCCTGTGCTCTGCAACGGGAGAGGTCACAACAGTGAGAGGCCCGCGTACAGGAAAAAAAAAAAAAAATGTTGCCGGGGTATTTGTATCAGCAAAGCCCTTTTATTTTATTTTAAAGATTTTATTACAGTTATCTTTTTTTTTTAAACATCTTTATTGGAGTATAATTGCTTTACAATGGTGGGTCAGTTTCTGCTTTATAACAAAGTGAATCAGTTATACATATACATATGTCCCCATATCTTTTCCCTCTTGCGTCTCCCTCCCTCCCACCCTCCCTATCCCACCCCTCTAGGTGGTCACAAAGCACCGAGCTGATCTCCCTGTGCTATGCGGCTGCTTCCCACTAGCTATCTATTTTACGTTTGGTAGTGTACATGTGTCCATGCCACTCTCTCACTTTGTCCCAGCTTACCCTTTCCTCTCCCCGTATCCTCAAGTCTATTCTCTAGTAGGTCTGTGTCTTTATTCCCGTCTTGCCCCTAGGTTCTTCATGACCACTTTTTTTTTTTTTAGATTCCATATATATGTGTTAGCATACGGTATTTGTTTTTCTCTTTCTGAGTTACTTCACTCTGTATGACAGACTCTGTGTCCATCCACCTCACTACAAATAACTCAATTTCATTTCTTTTTATGGCTGAGTAAAATTCCATTGTATATATGTGCTACATCTTCTTTATCCATTCATCTGTTGATGGACACTTAGGTTGCTTCCATGTCCTGGCTATTGTAAATAGAGCTGCAATGAACATTTTGGTACATGACTCTTTTTGAATTATGGGTTTCTCAGGGTATATGCCCATTAGTGGAATTGCTGGGTCGTATGGTAGTTCTATTTTTACTTTTTTAAGGAATCTCCATACTGTTCTCCATAGTGGCTGTATCAATTTACATTCCCACCAACAGTGCAAGAGGGTTCCCTTTTCTCCACACCCTTTCCAGCATTTATTGTTTGTAGATTTTTTGATGATGGCCCTTCTGACTGGTGTGAGATATCTCATTGTAGTTTTGATTTGCACTTCTTTAATGATTAATGTTATTGAGCATTCTTTCATGTGTTTGTTGGCAATCTGTATATCTTCTTTGGAGAAATGTCTGTTTAGGTCTTCTGCCCACTTTTGGATTGGGTTGTTTGTTTTTTTGTTATTGAGCTGCATGAGCTGCTTGTAAATTTTTGAGATTAATTCTTTGTCGGTTGCTTCATTTGCAAATA